TGCTGTCAATGTTAACTGGAATTATGAGCCCCTGTCCTCTAACTTTTTACTGTCAATGTTAACTGGAATTATGAGCCCCTGTCCTATAGTTTTTTGCTGTCAATGTTAACTGGAATTATGAGCCCCTGACCTCTAACTTTTTGTTGTCAATGTTAACCTGAACCATGAGCCCCTGACCTCTAACTTCCTGCTGTCAATGTTAACTGGAATTATGAGCCCCTGACCTCTAACTTCCTGCTGTCAATGTTAACTGGAATTATGAGTCTCTGACCTCTAGTTTTTTGCTGTCAATGTTAACTGGAATTATGAGTCTCTGACCTCTAGTTTTTTGCTGTCAATTTTAACTGGAATATTATAGGTATAACCTAGCCCACACTCCAGGTTAGATATTCAGGTTTAAAGGTGTAACCTAGCCTTCACTCCAGATTAGATATTAAATATCATAGGTGTAACCTAGCCTTCACTCCAGGTTAGATATTAAATATTATAGGTATAACCTAGCCTTCACTCCAGGTTAGATATTAAATATTATAGGTGTAACCTAGCCTTCACTCCAGGTTAGATATTAAATATTATAGGTATAACCTAGCCCACACTCCAGGTTAGATATTCAGGATTAAAGGTGTAACCTAGCCTTCACTCCAGATTAGATATTAAATATTATAGGTATAACCTAACCTCCACCCCAGATTACTAACTGAACATTCTACACATAACTTACCCTCCACTCCACCAAGATTATCAGCTGAGCTACGCTGGCTACTGAATCCACTAGATATACTTGATAGTGGACTCTGAACTGATACAGATTTTCCCTGGGTTGGGGATTGAATGTCTGGGGAATGTCGTGTTCCTAGATTTAAACAACAGAGTTATTAGGATATTTTCTAGTTAACTGAAGAAGATGAACTATAGAGATACATGCTTAAAAGAACTTATGTAGCAAGCAATGATGATGATGATGAAATAAATAATTTACCATTTATGATTGTAACTTAAAATATTAACACCTATATTGTTAAATACAAACTTAAATAAATTGTTCTGACAATGTATTATTCTTGTTCGCCACATATTAGATCTTAAGACTAACCCAACAATGAAATTCAATAATATTAAATGTTAAACAAAGTACAAGTTGTTTTCTCATTGAAAGGTGTTAATAAGACAACAAAACTTTTATATATCTGTTTTTTTAAAAATGTTTTCCTATAATCTAAAATAAACAGAACTTGTTATTAACAGCTGTTGGCATCATTCCAAGATAAACTAAAATGATAGCTGAAATCTAAATATCATTATATTGTAGAATTTTGACCAATTAAATATATACTCACTAGCAGGGGATTTCTTTGTTGGACTGGTGGAAGATATAAATTTTTTAGTGGGACTACCAATATGTCGACGAGGACTGTCTCCACGTTCTCCATGTAGAATAATATCATACGAGTTACCCAAGACATTGACCTTATCTACAGTTGGTGCATAGTCTATGTGTTCCTTGATGATAGGCTAGTGAATGGTAGGAATGTTATAGTATTTAAAATAAGTTCTTTTTTTATCTCTTTAGTCTACAGTTTTCTCATTTACTCCTCTAACATACATGTGAAGTAATCCCATTTCTCGAGCTCGTTATCATTACCTTACATATTCACCACAAGCAGTTTGTATGTAAATAAGAATATTTTGTATATTTCAAACTTAAAAGCAACAGGCTAATATTTGTTACCCTCATCTTGTGACTAATAATAATTAATAATGAACTAAATACAACTTTTTTTTCAACAATATTATATTTAAAGACGGAGATAAGAGTTTCCAGTAACGATGGTTAAGTCTACGAGAGCATAGTTGGATATTTCAAACAGATAAGAATATTCATTTGATTGTCAAGATAAAAAAACAACAACAAATTTTAATGGTGAACTTAAACACTTACATCATTCAGATTTTTTTTTTGCTCCACTGCATAGTTCTCAAGATTTATGGAATTACAAATCAAAAAGAAAATTGAATTTCAAAATGAAATAAATTTCTGAATTTACAGTATGCAAGAAAAACTTTAAGTTAATGAAATAATATGACAGTTTTATACCATAATAGATATTACAAAAGCTTTATCAAATTATAGATGAATATGGAAACTACCAAGAAATTATAGTAACCAATACCTTATGGTTTAAAAAATACCAGTCTGAACTAGGCAAAGAAATATGGATCTGATGTAAAAAAACCATAACCATCTGCTACTAATTTTGATGAATTTGAGATACGACAGGAAAAAATACAATAGATGCTGTTATCATCTTGTAAAAATACTCACCTTTAATTCAGCAGCCTGATGTTGTAGTGCATCCTTGTCTATCACAACGACCTCCAGTTCCTCTACTCGGCCCTCTATATCATTCAACCATTCCAGTACTTTTATTCTCAAAGTTTCATAAGCAGACAACTGCTGGGTACGGGTCTTGCCCGCCTGCTGCTTCTCGGTCAGAAGGTCTCCAAGTTCTTTCCACTGCTGCTCCAGTAATTTCACTTTATCTTTCCTTGGAGCAGTGTCTGTCACATCCCTCTTGGCCACTAAGTTTTTGCCTGTTTTGATCATCTTGTCAAAGTCTTCCTTCTTAGCATTTCTCTGGTTCATAGCATCTTCAATTTGGGTGCAGTACTCTTCAGGGGTAAGATCGACTATCTCTCTGCTTTCTAGTGTTTCTGTGATTTCGTGGATCCATTCCTCAAAATGAAGAATCATCACTTCAAATGTCGATACTAAGGTTACCACCTAGAAACAAAACGTAAAACATTTCTCACTTAAAAATTACTATTTTTTATCTAACACACAAAATATTTTTAAACTGAAAGAGAAAGATGTTGAGAAAATCTCAATAATCATGCTCCAACCCAAAGTGATTGTTATACACACTTTAATAGTTGATTACAATACTAAGCATGCTTACGTAGGTGCCTAACTAATCCATGGGGCATGTACTTACTCACTTTCATTATAAATTCCTAGTACGTACATACATTTTGAATATTATGTACTGAAATATCTATTCAATTTTGTGGTAAAAAAAAAAGTACGTTGACAAACAGTAAATCAGATCAAACAGTAAATATTAACTTTCTCGGTGCTTCTTATAAATATTATTTTACCTCACTACACTACTCTGCTCCTCCCACAAATTCAGAAAAACCTGCATGTCAATGCTGGATGAGGGTCAACTAACTAGTCCAAATCTTGTTTATTTCACTGTCTATTAGACCAGGGCTAGGTTTTTAATGAATCCAAAAAGTTATAGTTTGGGGACCCTTAAGGAGTTGTTCAAATTTTTTCCAGTAGTCAATGACAATAATTACTGTTGACAGTTAGTCAATGACAATAATTACTGTTGACAGTTAGTCAATGACAATGATTACTGTTGACAGTTAGCCTAACTGTCAACAGTAATCATTGTCATTGTCAATGATAATGATTACTGTTGACAGTTAGTCAATAACAATAATTACTGTTGACAGTTAGTCAATGACAATGATTGCTGCTGACAGTTAGTCAATGACAATAATTACTGTTTACAATTAGTCAATGACAATAATTACCGTTGACAGATACCATTTTATAATCTTTCATGAATTGATCAGTTTAAAGTAACTTTCTATAAATAGACAGATCAAACATAAAGTTGTTCTTTAAAAAATATATTGTATAAATATTGTGCTGTTGCTCTACTGTTTTTGTTTGTCTAACTTGGAATACTCAACATGAGAATACTATTTCTGTATCTATAATAATGCAGATCTATATATATATATATGTGAAGGCTCTGCTCTGTCTTAGTTTGGGGCCCTCTGAGAACTTAATCTGGCCCTGTTTAGAAACATTCAAATGTGATGTTCCCCACAAACATGGAAGACAATTATAACCAAGCTAGAGTTTTACCTCTTCGAGCAAGATTCCCCGTTTCCGAGATTTCTCACACAGCTTGTCAAACCGGGTGTTGATGTCTTTCATCTTAGTCTCAACCTTCTTAGCTAACCTTTGGTTGGAACCTTTACTTAAATCTTTAGCTGAAGCAGTAACAGCATCAATGCTCGGCCTCTGGCTGTCGATATCAGTCTGGAAGATTTTATGTTCTTGAACCTAATAAAAAAAAAGGTGCTCTGAAATATACACGCACACAAATAATATATATACACACATTTATATCATGTAAAAAAAGTGCTCTTTAATCATCTGAAATATACACACATGTAAGGACCTACTAGTCCATCTAGAAACCATCCTATGTTGCACAAGGGGCATGTGCTCACCCCACTTTTATTATGTATAGAATGTTTGGCCAGGTAGGAGTTATCTTTAATGAGACACCTTTATTTTCTTAACAGGGTGGTTGGCTTTTGGAACGGATTGCCTTCAGATATGGTAGAAGCAGATAATTTAAGGGAGTTTAAGTGAAAGCTTTATAACTATTTAAATGATAAGGGCTGGGTTTGAGTGTTTTATTTTGGAGTTTACAAAAGTGGATTGGACAGCTTAGATGGACCAATCGGTCCTTATTGTCCTGAAATTATATGTATAAAATCTACCAATAGGACCTGAATGGATTTAGAAAGTATCCCATCTCATCACTTTCTAAACTGCTTCAGGTCCCAACATCAATCTCAATGTTTTAGATATTTATTTGGAAATAAATTCAAACTCATATACATTGATCATACTGTAAAACACTGCAATACCTGTTCATCAAGTCTCTCTCGAGACAAGCTGATGGCTTTATTCTGAGTGCGGAATATTGTCTCAGTTTCATTTAGCCACTTGAGGAGACGGTCCAATCCATCCTGGATATCCTGGGACTGAACCAAAGCTGTTTGAAGTTCATTACTTTTCTCATTGATGTCATTACTGACGGTACAATGGTCATCCTCAAGTTTCTGGACAGTATTTTCAATAGACTGTTTTTCAACTATACTCGTTTCAGTTTTTTCTAGAGTATCCAGCAGAGTTTTTCCTGCCTGCTTAATATTCTCAATAACCCGACTTTGACTCACAATGTCCAGACTGACTGTTTTGATTCTGTCTAGTTGATCTTGAATTAATTTTGGCTCTGCTGCTACTGGCTCATCTAATAACTTTCTGGATGTGGTCTGTACTTCTAGAAGCCAGCTTGTGGCTTTTTCCAAGCATTCAGAGTAGTGACGTTGTCTGGCTTCCACAGTGGTGATTTTATCTCTGAGCCGATTAACCTGGTTCAAGAGATTTTGATAAGTGGTGCTAACAACACTGACTTGAGCCTTCACTTCACTCTCTTTCGGCTCCACGTGAGCTCTTCGACGAGGAAGATTGGTACGAATATTATTCAGAATCTTTAGATATTCCTGAAGAGGTAAAAAGTTTAGTTGTAGTAAAAAAATTATGAGTTTCTTGTATTTTGCAAAACAGAAAGAAAATTACACAACATCATGCAATACTTTTTCTTATTTGACAGTAAATTCTAGAACTTTGTTGAAATTCTAAGTCAGTTGTCTTTAATGCTAACCCTAAAAGTATCTTCTATCCTTTTTTATTTGTTAATTATTTTTTCCTTTTTATAGCTAAGCAGTATTCATGACAGTAAGTTCTACAATTTTGTTGAAATTCTAAGTCAGTTGCCTTTAATGCTAACCCTAAAAATATCTACTATCCTTTAGTATTTCTTACCTTTGATTCGTCGACAAACCTCTGGGCAATCATGGTGATGAAACGAAGATCCGCTTGGTGGGCAATAACATCATTAGTAAATTCCTGTTAAAGACACAAAAACTGACTTATTACAGGTGATACAAACTGATGGAAGGTCACAAAGATCAACTTATACTGAATATTTTGTTGTTTTTCACAATCAGTAGTACACACTGAAGGAATTTAGATATTTTGAAACTAAAGTTAGAAAAAAATGGCCGTTACTCTCTAAATAATAATATATAATAATATATATATATATATAAAACTTTTATATTTTGGCCAACATTTTGCCATTGCACTTTTTTTATCAGTGCTGTAGTACAAGAATACTGAATATAGTGTAACATTTAAAAATCTATCAGTGTATATGTATAATGCATATGTGTTTTGTAGCGTACATCAAAAAGTTTTAGGTTTTTAGGTGAATCAACAAAACTTATACTATCACCATCAGAGGCCATGTTGTGGTTGGAATTATAAAAACATGGGATTGTTAATGTTCAGAAGAATATAAAAAAAACCAGCAACAATTACATTATGTTCTGTAAATATGTGTGCAAAAGTCAAACATTGTGGATAATTAACCAGAAAGAAAAGAACATGTACACATACACTGTATGTTTTTAAAGAACATGTACACATACATTGTATATTTTTAAAGAACATGTACACATACATTGTATATTTTTAAAGAACACGTACACACACATTGTATGTTTTTAAAGAACATGTACACATACATTGTATGTTTTTAAAGAGCATGTACACATACATTGTATATTTTTAAAGAACATGTACACATACATTGTATGTTTTTAAAGAGCATGTACACACACATTGTATGTTTTTAAAGAACATGTACACATACATTGTATGTTTTTAAAGAACATGTACACATACATTGTATGTTTTTAAAGAACATGTACACATACGCTGTATGTTTTTAAAGAACATGTACACATACGCTGTATGTTTTTAAAGAACATGTACACATACGCTGTATGTTTTAAAGAACATGTACACACACATTGTATGTTTTAAAGAACATGTACACACACATTGTATGTTTTTAAAGAACATGTACACATACGCTGTATGTTTTTAAAGAACATGTACACATACGCTGTATGTTTTTAAAGAACATGTACACATACGCTGTATGTTTTTAAAGAACATGTACACACACATTGTATGTTTTTAAAGAACATGTACACATACGCTGTATGTTTTTAAAGAACATGTACATATACGCTGTATGTTTTTAAAGAACATGTACACATACATTGTATGTTTTTAAAGAACATGTACACACACATTGTATATTTTTAAAGAACATGTACACATACATTGTATGTTTTTAAAGAACATGTACACACACACACATTGTATGTTTTTAAAGAACATGTACACATACACTATATGTTTTTAAAGAACATGTACACATACACTGTATATTTTTTGTTTCAGTTTTCTTATTTATTATGATAGTTGTCTTTTTTTTTAAACTACATCCTATAGTTTGATATTTTTATGTAGATCTTTAATATAAAGGTTTTAATTACATCAAGCCTAAATTAATTCATCCTGTCAGTACTTCTAAACTGTACTATTATATATATATATTTTGCTTCTGTCTATTCTACAAGTGTCTAATTTAAATGTTAGCCTAATTTACCGATCCAAATTATATCTGTTCTAATTTATCTAATTATTTATATTTATAATTTGTTTACATTTCTTGTCAGGCAATAATTTTTAGAGCATTGTTTTACATAGCAACTAGGCACCAAACCACATGACCAGGCCCATGCCAAGTACAGCCACTGGGCCTGGCCATTTTTTCCCACTGCACCTCTCATTGCCATGGCCCTGATCCAGCCTCACACCCTTTCATTTCCATACATCTTCCCTCAAATTTATTCATAATCCAAAAAAAAATTCCCAAGGGGGGTGTGTATACTGTCACTATCCGTTTTTGCAATGATAATTTAATGGTGTCTCTGTTCTTGATTATACAAATATTTGAAATCATCGCATTTCCTGTTTATATCTGTGTTCCAAAATTTGCAACTTAATAATATTTTGTGCATCAAGTAGACACACATCAGTTCAGCCAAACTTGTAATACAATAATGATTTATTTGCACAGATGTTTCATTTACTTAATTCGATTATCTTGTTCTTTCTTTCAGTTAACGTGCACAGTTTCATTGTTATTAGGTGTAACATTCTCACTGACTATATTCCCTTAATTCTTGTATGCTGAATGACAGTTTTGAGCCCTTGGTAAAAAAAAAAAAGTACTTAGTGAAATTTTCTATAAAAAAATTGCCTTGATAATTTTAACTTCAGGTTCACTTAAATTATTCATTACGATAACTTTTTCAACCTTGAGAAACTAAATAATAGCAGTAAGTAGTTCTGCAGTGACTTCTAGCAACCAAAAACACAAGATGAAAACTTTTCCGTCTTGGTAAATCTGACTTATACTCACTTTAAAATATTCACCATTTTCTTTCAAGTTCTTCAAGTCACCCACATTTTTTTCTTGTTCTTTTAGCTTCTCTTCAGCTTCAAGCAACCATTTCTTAAAGGTAAGGAGTTCCACCTGACAACAAAAATTAAAACAATGTATATAGTGCTTTTTTAATTACACACAAAACATTTATATAATCGGGCTTGAAAAACTGGTGATGTACACACATGGGCACGTACATAACTAATGAAAGTATCAAAACTATTGTCAAGCTTTCAGGAAAGAAGATAATAATTTCAGATAATTCAACAGTATTCTGCAAGTATTTGCAAGAACAGTTCTACTGGAAACGAGAAAGTAATCTTACATTAAACTTCTCTAACTCCTCTTGAGATAAAACGAGTCGATGAAGTAGTTTCTCGCTCTCCTCCAAAGTTTTGTCGTAATGCTTTTTTAGCTCTTTACAGTCTTTCTGTAGCTGTTCAATTTCATCCTTGCTAAGAACCTCGGCCCCTTGTTGTACAATCTGGTGAACCTTGTTTAAACATGTTGAGACTGCTCTCTGGTGGTCATCCAGGTCGTTCTTAATATCCTGCGTAAATGAGCCATATGAAAATTACTTTGATTCATAAAAACATTGCACGATATTTTACTCGTTGATTCTGATAGAGTAATGTAAAAAAAAAGTTTAGTAAACCACCAGATGCACATCCTTTTATTGTTAAGTGGATTTCAGAATAATATTTAATTATTTGCCTTATGATAAAACTTTATTTCTGAAGATCTCACTGTATTTCTCAAAATGGTAACATGATAAGCTAGTAAATGGTAACATGATAAACTAGTAAATGGTAACATGATAAACTAGTAAATGGTAACATGATAAACTAGTAAATGGTAACATGATAAGCTAGTAAATGGTAACATGATAAACTAGTAAATGGTAACATGATAAGCTAGTACATGGTAACATGATAGGCTAGTAAATGGTAACATGATAAGCTAGTACATGGTAACATGATAGGCTAGTAAATGGTAACATGATAAACTAGTAAATGGTAACATGATAAGCTAGTAAATGGTAACATGATAAATTAGTAAATGGTAACATGATAGGCTAGTAAATGGTAACATGATAAGCTAGTAAATGGTAACATGATAAGCTAGTAAATGGTAACATTATAAGCTAGTACAAGGTAACATGATAAACTAGTAAATGGTAACATGATAAACTAGTAAACGGTAACATGATAAACTAGTAAATGGTAACATGATAAACTAGTAAATGATAACATGATAAGCTAGTAAATGGTAACATGATAAACTAGTAAATGGTAACATGATAAACTAGTAAATGATAACATGATAAGCTAGTAAATGGTAACATGATAAACTAGTACATGGTAACATGATAAACTAGTAAATGATAACATGATAAGCTAGTAAATGGTAACATGATAAACTAGTACATGGTAACATG